CACAAAGGACTAATCCAGGGGCTTGCCAACAATATATGTGAAACATACCTCTTCAACAAGGACGTTGAGCGTAAGTTTTTAATTTTTAAAAAGTACCTAAAGTGCGTTAAAAGCAATAAAAATCTTAAATAACGTTAGCAAAGATCTTCCGCCCAGTCATTTCCTAAAAGCACCCTGTATAGAGTTTTAGGTTAGGCGTCGACCGCAACACTTTGAGGCAGTATGTCCGTTACATACTCACACAAAGGACTAATCCAGGGGCTTGCCAACAATATATGTAAAACATACTCTTCAACAGGGACATTGAGCGTAAGTTAAAAACTCAAAATACTGTATATATATACTCCTTTGTTCTACAAATAAAGAACTTCGATATTAATCTTTTCATTTTCAATTTTTTTTTTTTAAAAAAATTTTTCATAGAAGGCAAAGGAAGCGAAAACATCCCTGCTGGTTGCCTCTCACTTTCGTGTTCTTCACACACGTCTTCCTTTTAAAAATCTCGTTTGATAACAAAATAACTGATAAAATGAGCTTGATGTTAAAAAAAAAAGAAAGGGTTTGCAAATATAAATTATATAAAATAAAGGTGAATATATAGGATTCTTACGCGTTACGTCATGTAATAAAAAGTATGTCAAATGATGCGCGTTGATTAATACAAGTTCGACTGTGATACTGTAGAGTATGGACATTTCTTTTATTTTATTTATTTTTGAGTGATCGATCACCTATTATCGTTCCTGAAAACTATTCTAGTAATATTTTAAAATATAATTTTAAAGCAAAAAAAATTTTTTTTTTTTTTTTTTTTATTTTATTTTTTTTTTGGTATTAGTTTTATTTTTAATTTTAAATTAATATAAATCTCAGGGTTGCTATTAAAATCACGTTACTATGTTCGTAACTCGATTTTAAATAGCAAACCTCCCATATCACATGATATTGTTCACCTGATTGAGTTAAAGATTTTAAACCAAATATTTTTTTAAATTTGGATGTTTCTTTGGTGATATTTTTGGGGATGATTATATTTTCATCTTCTGGTACATAATGTGAAAATTTTTCTTTTCTTTCATCATCTTTCTCAAAATGCATTTTTTTAAAATGTCAACAAAATTTAGCTTTATTAGAAACAAAGCAATTGGGCTTGTCTGTGCAATAGATAAGGTGCATGTAAATTTTCGTATACATGACCAGGACAAGCAAACGGCCTTTTTATTTGCTTTCGAATCATCCGATGTATCCAGAAAAAGAACTCACGAAAATTATATTCTTTTTGCAATTGAATTTCTTAAAATAAATAAAAGTAGTTCTAATCATCAAAATCTTTTTTATTTATTATATATTTTGGTAATCACGAATGTTCATGGTACATCTTTAATATTTCCGATAAACCCAGATGATCAGATGATTCCTAATGACCCAAATGACATAGGTCATCGTGTCATATGAGTCATTTTTTAAATGACCCAAATTCCAAATGACAAAGTATGATTATTGAAAATTAGCCAAATGGCCAAGTCATTTGTCATCACTGTTCATTTTTGTGTGACTAATTTTTCCTTTCGTCGACAACTGATACGAACGAATCACAAAATAAACAATCATTAGCAAAAGTTAGTTTCTGATCGAACGTAATTAATTGAGTGTCAGAATTATTTGAGCGACGACATGTAAATTCCTTGAGAATTACTTCTTAATTATGTTTTAAATTGTTTTACATCGGAATCGAAATAAGAGTCGGATTTTGCACAAGACCGATCCCTTTTTAATACAAGTTCCAAAACTCAACATTCCACCAAGATTTATGAGCTTATCCGTACAAAGTTTTGAAGTTTCAATAAATCATTAGACAAAAGTTATTAAGCTAGTCTTGTAAGAGCTGTGAGAGTGTTTAAAATCTAATAAAGTGTGCACCACCAGATATTTATCCATATAATATCGATTAGGGATCGTTTGACAGTAAGTCCACGATTTCTGAGAAAATTATCCATGAATGTTTTGACATGCCTTGAACCTTATTCTTTGTAGCCACTAATCATTTCCAAGCATTTAGTAGTTCACCCGTGTGATTAAACAAATTTTTGAACGGTGATTTTAGAATTTTTGTTCGAACGCCTCTATTACAATTTTAATCTTTTTAATGACTCAAAAAAAGATTTATTGTACAGTACATAGAAAAAAACGTTCACACTACAACGGAAGCCAAATAAAATATAATGCAATTATCAAGCAAACTTCGATCATAATCGATCTTACGATATCAAGTGATTCTGTGATTTAAATTATGAAATAAATTTGGAATTTTTTAAATTATGGTGACTAAGACTTAAGATGCATTTAAGGAAAATTCTGCGGCGTACTGTGAATTACAGGAAAACATCGTCCCTGTGCCAGATATGTTTTCATTATAATTTTAACTTAAAGTGGTTCGACATTTTGTATTTCTTTCCATCAATGGATTGAAGAAAAAGGAGTATTAACCAACCACATCAGTTACAACATGAAACGAATGTGTTACTTCTTCATTCTTCTTGGATCATTTTTTTTTTTTTTTGTTCCTTTTATCATCTCCTAGAATATTAGAAATCATTATATTTGCGGAATAAAAATAATAACTTTCGATTAAAGTTCGTTGGATTTTGTTGAAATACCGGCATCGTAGGCTTAAATTAACGATACGATATTACGTCGGATTTTCAGCAACAAGGATCAAAAGATTTGGAAAGATTTTTATTTAAGGGTATATTTGTTTTTATGACAGATTAACAAATCCAAACCGGTCAAACTTGTCTTGGTTGAAAATCCACGTAAAAAAAATTAAGATTGCCACTGTCACAACCACCACATCCAATATTCCCCATTTTCTGTCGTCTTCATGAACAAGGGTAAAAGGATTGTTTAATTTATTTATCTTATTAAGGAAATAGTCAAAGAAATTGAAGAAATGCACTTACTATGATAATGATATTCAATAAACTTTGCGATTTCTCGATCTTGATCATCTATAAACTTGAGCGTATCATTTATGTATGAAGCCTCAATAACTTTTATCACAAATTTCTCTTCTGAGGATTCCTTATATGTTTTGACTTGTTTCTTAACTTTATTTTTAGAGACATTTCTGGTTGATCGTGTGGAATTCGTGTTAAGACAATTCGTTTCAATTCTAATGTAAACGCCATGCTCCGATCCAAAAACCAGATCACCAACTCCATAATGATCATAGTATTGATAACCTTTCTTAATACACCATTCAAAGTCAACAAGATAATGAAAACCGGGTAAAATCTTATCAATATTATCAATTAAATAATTTTTCACCGCGTCTTCCGAATGATAACCGTTATAATTTAACTTCCATCTCTTCCTTTTTTCCTCATCTAATTTTTTCAACCTTTTAATGAAAGGCTGAAACCATGTTTTACATGTCATCAAAACATCTCTCAAGGTATCCTCCTTTTTATAATCAACGTATATATACGAACAAAAACGGTGCGTGACTTTAATGTTATTCGATCGAAAAGCTTCTTGAAGTAATCGATCAATAACGAAACGACCATAATCATGATATCCTAAAAAAAGGGAAGGATTTTTTTGTTCGAAAGGATGGGATAAGATTTTTGAACATATTTTTAAAACAAAACTTCTTTGCGATTCATCGTAAATATTAACTCGAAAGAAAAATGACGAAAAGTATTCCATGTTATAAATTTTATAAAAAATAAAATTATCAAAAAAAAAAGGTCATTCCTTTTTATATTGATTTTTGTTTACCAAATTTGGGAATTGATAAGCCTCATCATGTGGCGGTTTCTATTTTAAATTCAAAATTTTTTATTTTTTACCAGGTGATATACAGCATGAAATTACACATACTATTTAAAATAAAATACTGGAATAGTGTTTAAAAAAAAAAAAGTAATTCAGGTTATTTAATAATGGCATTTAGCAATTTATCAAGCTTGCCATTAAGTTCATTAACTACACTCTTGAGATCTTCAACCTTATTGTCAAGCAACGTAACCTTGTTCTTGATGTCACTGTTATCTTCCACATTCTCGAAACCTTTATTATCATCAGATTTCATCTCATCATCTTCATACGGTAAGACCGTATCTATCATCTTCTCTTCGTAATAATCATACAATTTGTTATTCTCGGATTCTCGACTTCTAACTTTTGAATCCCAATCTTTATAACTTTTGGATTTACCCAAATAATAAATATATTTTGGTTCTGGAACCGGAGGATCGAAATATATTTGTTCTAATGCTTCATAATCCGAAATTGATTCGGCACGAAATCTTAATAAAGCGGAGCGACCTTTTGTATATGCTTCAGCATATACACCCCTGATAAAAAATCATTGATCATTAAAAAGAAGAGTGATGCTTAACAAAGTTCAAAAAAAAAAAACTCACCATATGAAGGCAATAAACATATTTTGCAGAATAGTTATCAAGAGCATGCTGCCAAATAACGTGATGATTTTTACCTGCCAAATATCCCACGTATCTTGTTGCAAAAACTCCCCATTTAACCAATTATACGTTGAAATAAATGAAATTATATAATTTCTAGCTGGATTATTTTCGGTTTGATCAAGTTCTGTAAATTCGGGATGTTGTAATAAAAGTAAAAAACTATGCGCTATTCCAGCTATTACAAGAATTACAAATACAAGGAATATCCAAGTCTCATTGATGATATTTAACATAATGTAGATATATTTCGCCGGTTCTTTTGTTTTTTTTTTTTTTTTAAAAAAGAAGGTTGAAATGAAATGAATTGAATTTGTAAAAATTAAGTTTAAAAAATTAAACATAAAGTATTAAATTATGATATTTTTACCTGATAATAATCGAAGGTATAAAATCTAATTTAAAATATATAAGCATGATACAATTTTTAATTTTCATTTCAAATTTTATTGAAAACATATGAAGGATACTCACCAATTCAAACCAAAGCAATAACATTGTGAAAGTGATAGTAGCGGCTATTCTTCGGGTTGTTACAACATTAGCAAATGCATCCTTAGAGCTAAATGAAGGAGCGGCATAAATTGACATTACAATAATCGCTATAACAACCGAAATCAAATCTACAATATTAAAGAGATTAAAATAATGTCTCCAACCATAATGGACAAACTGTTTTAATTCTACGATCAATAAATAACCTCCCATATAATAAAATAGAATAAAAACAAATATTAAGAAATCACTAGTCGATCCCGTTGCTTCAAAATGTGATAGATAGGTTCCACTAATTACCGCAAAACAAGTTGCAAATATGAAATACCTAAAAAAAAGTTGAAGGAAATAATTTCTTGCCGGACGCCATTTATAATTAATTACAGCTTCCATTACCGGATTATTAAATATCTCATCATCCTCTTCTAATCTAATGATCTGAACAAATGGACTAAGTAAATGACTTTCCTTAAAACTTCGAGGGATAAATAATAATCTAAAAAGTTTTATAATATATGAACTTTTGTCACTTTCCACTTTTTGAGATGTATTATTAACAGTGAAATTGTATAAGGGGACCATTTTTACAGTTGGAGAGTACTTTAATTGTTCATTTGTACAAATTTTTACCCAAATTTTTCTCAGTCCCAACTCTAAATTATCTCTTAGAACTTTTGGACTAATTTTCTGTTTACTTGTTGAAATGAGTTTCGAAATAGGATTAAATGCCAATAAATCCTGTTTCGTATTTAAAGTAACTTGATATCGTTTAGGTATAATATCAGTGTATTCAATGATATTAGATATTTCTATCCCCTCCATGCATCTTTTATAAAATAGTTCGCTCACATAATGTTCTACCAAATGAAAAGTTTTTTTAATAATTAATAATAATAATAATAATAATAATAATAATAAAGTACAAACCTAATTTAAATTCATATAAATATGGTAATGCGTCTGGAATAGTGATTAACCATCCGGGATGTTCGGTTGCCTTTGTTGCGTAATATTCAAGTAAATACGTTACGATTAAAATTCTACGGTTGCGCTCTATATCTATTATAAAAATATTTTAATTTTAATCAATAAAATCCTAAAATTTTATAAAAATTTAATAAAATCAAATTACCTGGTTTACATAATTTAATGGCTGTTTGTAAATCACTATCGGGTTTTGGTAAATGACTTTCGGAATTATTAGAATCAACCCATCGAATTGTTCTTGGTATATGCAAATATTGCTTTTCTTTTCCATCACCAAATAAAATATGTTTGATAAGAGGATTTGATCCACTATTTATAATCTTGTTCATAAGATTATAACGAATATCCATCATTCTCCAAATATCTGGATAATTTTTGATAAATTTCCAAATCATGGCAGAAATATTACCTTTAATTTCTTCAAATGCTATTTTTTATAAGAAAAATTTAAGACTTTCTTGGAAAAAAGAAAAATGAAGATGAAACTATTAAAATGGTACCGTGTTGATTATCATATCCAATTAAATGATTACTTTGATCATTTAAATATTCAAGAGCATCACAAGCATGTTGTATTGGGATTTTGTGATTCTCAAATGGCCATTGAATTTGATATTCAACATTTGTTTCTTTCCACTTAAGTTGAAAACCATTATCATAAACGATTAATTTCGTTACTTCCAATTGATCTTTATTATCAGCCCAAAAATATTCGAGAACAAATTTGTGATTTTTCTTCATAGTTTTACGCCACACTTGAATGGTATTTTTTCCAATATACAATTGTAATGATCCTTCTTTATCAAGATATATCCACATTTTATTTTCAAAAATTTGGTTATCCCATGGTTCGCAATTGTGTACGAGTGGTTGTGCTACTCCTGTACTACCCTGATGAAAAATGCTAACATTTTCACATTTCGATTTAATCATTTCATTTGGTTTTCCTACTTGGCTTTTATCAGTAGAAAAGACAGTACTATAAGGCGATACTAAAATTTGATCTTTTTTAGGTTTGATCTCAAGTATACTATCATATATTGACAAGATAGTACCGTTAGAAGTCACTGATACGAACTTTCCGGGAATTTTTGCATTATATGAAGGATTCTCATTACCCTCATCCAACTCAATACCATCACAGATAGATCGAAATCTATTCTTTGAAGAATTAAATAAATCCCAAAGTAACATTTCCCCACGCTGACTTTGGGATGTTTTGATAATTATCATTAGTTTGTCATCATTCTTGAATTCACAAGCAATGATTTTCGTATCCTTTTCAAAACTTTTGTTAATGATCTCTAGACCATTTTCTATCAAATAAAGGGTCAACTTTCCATTTCCGGAAGAAAAAGCAATGATTTGCTCATTTTTCGAAATGGCCAATATAGGTTTGCTATATTCGTTTGAATATTGCTTATCTTCATGCATATTAAAAATTTGTCGTATTTGCATGGTCTTTAAATCATATAATTGCATGACCTGAACCCCTTCTTTATATTGTTCAATATAAAAATAATGATCAAATACGGAATTCTTGATTCGTGAGATGCACGATTTTGTCTTGCGTAAATTATTTAACTCATTTTCAAGTCTTCGCGGATAATTAAAATGTTCCAAGCCATTTAAAATATTATCACAAATCGTACGCCTATGAATTCCGCCAGCATTAAAAATGAAGCAATAATTATCATGGGTGGATTTATCATGAGTGATTGTATCATGAACAAATAAAACAACACCTCCCATATTTTCCATTTTGTAAATATTAGGTTCGTTATTATCCTTTTCATTTTTTGAATTTAACTCTATTTTATAAATAACGGTTTTTCCACTTGAAGGTTTACTTTCACTAAAATTGCACTCGTCAATCTTAATTTCTTTAATTTCCGAAATATTATCTTTATCTAAATTGTTTGATTCATCATTCCTGACCAACATGTCAGATTCTGTCACACAAGATATTGCTACAAAGATCACACCTTGTTCAATTTGATTTGATATGGCCAACATCCATTTTGAATACCTTTTGCACCCATCAAAAAGATCTGTCTTAATATCATATAACTTTGCTTCATCAACTTGATCATACTTTTCAAATTCTATGATTTTGAACTTTTGAGTTACTTCGACATATACAAAAAAAGAATAAACCATCTTTAAAAAAAAAGGTATTTCACTTTGACAATTAATTAAAAATATTAGATATGTTGAATTACCATGATTAAATACAAGGATATATTTTCCATCGGGACTAATGGAAATGTGCCAATCCGAACTTTTTTGTCCTAAATAGTATGAGATTCTCTTCTCTTTTTACAAAATTTTTGGTTAGATCTATAAATACACACATATCAATGATAATATTGATAATTGAATAACAACTTACTTTCTATAAGATTGTCATTAAAAAAAAAAAAAGAAGTTTCATTAAGTCCAGCACAAAATAATTTTGACGTGATAGAAATAAATTATATATAACTCACGAACTACAAGATTATCTAATAAATACTTTTGTTAAAAACTTATAAATTATATAAACAAGTGAAAGTAAATGATATAACTTTGAAAATCACATTTAGTTAGATTTATAAATTTTACACGGTATGTAAATCGAATTACTTACTGACTATGGTATTATTGAGAATTTCAATAAATTTCGTTAAGTAAATTCTTTAACATTAATAACTTACACTATAAGAGTAAGTACTTACAGCCTACATCAATATTATTAAATAAAAAAAAAATATTAGTTAAACTAAATAAGTTATGAATAATAACAATAAATATGTAACTTACTTGCTATATAATATTATTTATATAGGAATCGGTGAAATTAAATGATTATATTATGCATTCACAATAATTAAGTTAAATACATAAATCACTAATTAAAGACTTAAATTACATTAGTAATAATACAATTGAAATAAATAAATGACTTACCACCTATTTTAAGAAATGTAAAAAAAAAAAAAAAAATAGTTAATAATTTTACATCATTTGCGTAATTCATACACTTTTTCAATTTGAAATATCGCTTTATTTAATACATTTACCTCCGAACTTATCAACTTCATTGGCATCTTCGACGTTCATAATATATTCGCGAATTTTTTTTATAAATCCTTACTACTCGTCAAACGTTTACGCATATGTGTTAAATACCTATTTTATTAAAATATTGAAAAAAAATTTAATGCTATAAAAGTTACCGGTCATAAAAAATTTTCAGGAAAAAATGAATTTTAAAGTTTCCAGAGGATCGTTAACAATAAAAAATGAACAGTTAAATATTTTTTTATCAAATATGTCGTGCATGATGATTATGATCGACAAAATGCGCATTTTTGTTATTGATTCGGGTTTCAGAAAATTCTATTGTTGGAGGTTGTGGTACCAGCCGCAGTAATTAATTGAAGTCGACTTTTTAATCGCGACTAATGTTTTTAAGCCCGACCGTGTAACGGAACAACAGACTGGGTTCGTTGGCCGAATCGCCAACTTACCAGTTCAAGAAAGTTCCGTTTGTCGAACTAAGACATTTAGGGGTTAATGCAGGGTATCCGTATTTGCATATTGCATCATGTGCATTTTGACATATTACGAAAAAGATACTTAGGGATTCAATGATTGATATTTATTTATTTGTAAACAAACTGATTTAATTTTGAATAATTTGTAAATAAATGACCACTTTCTGTTAATAACAACAAATCGTGAACATAAATGAGTTTAAACGATTCCTTTTGTCAGTGATAATGTTAGCTGCATCGGAAAAGAGCCTTCCGGATGGAAAAGTGTAGCAGAATCTACGAGCTTGCTTGGATAATAAAAGAAAAAAAATCTTTTCCTTCACGCATCATGAGGTAAAACAGATAAAGTAAATTCCTGTAATGACTAGGGATGTAAGCGGTAGTGCTCCGTAAGGGTCGAACTCGACCCGTTTAATAATTGCAAAACCCGAATTCGACTCGACCTGATCATTGTTCAATCCGGATTCGCAAGGTAATATTAATCTCATGTTGAAATGACCCCAATGACACATGACCAGTCATTTGAGTCATTTGAACACTTGTTGCTTTATAAAAGAAAAAATGTATTAATTAATGTTTAATAATCGATATTTTATTTTCCCATCATGGTTAAATGTGGATATTGGTTAAATTTAATTGAAATAAATTTTTTTTTTTTATTTTTAGTAAAAATATGATCTAAAATTACATCATATTCATCATTAATATTTTCTACCAGTAATTAGCCGATCGAGTCGATCCAGTCGGGACTATCATTGAGTCCTAATTCAATATGACCCGTCGGGTCAGGTTTGCTTGACCCGAGTCGATCCGGTAACCAGGATTCGACTCGAATTTTCAAAGAGTAATATTAATGCCGAAAATAAAAAAAGTTTTATTTATTTTTAAAAATTTATTATTTTTTTTTTGTGAGCACTAATCCTAACTTTTTTTACATCTTTTTCCACCAGGATTGCAAGCACATACAGGTCTAATTATATTAGATTTAATACCACATCTTTTGGTTGATATCAGGTCGGTTCCGCCAGAAAAACTCGTTTTACTGAAACACTTGTTACTTTATAAAAAATGTATTAGTTAATGTTTAATAATCGATAATTTTTTTTGTAATTGTTCACTCCACAATGCTTTTCGTTTATCGGTAACGTCGATAGGTTCACTCATGATTTATTGGTTACAAATTAAAGTTGCGTAACGTAAAACAAAAAATCTAGATATAGATATAGTTTGAGTCAAATTCAAGTTCTGTAATTATTAACGGGTTCGAATATGCCTTAAACGTAATAGCTGGTATATGGTCGGCGTCATAAATATTAAGAACTAATTCTTTAGCATAACGAATAACGAGTTGTCTCCATATTTTATCTTCATAATAACCAAGCTTAACCAAATACTATAATATTATAATTCATTCTATTTTTTTATATTACTTAAAAAAAAGTTTAACATATCGAAGTGAGAACGCCGTGTATCTATTCATGTGATACGAGATTTTGTTAAAAACATTTTGTAACTTTTTTTGATGAAAGATTTTCTGTTACACAGAACTTCTGCATTTAAATTGTTTGTAATTTTGTATTTGAGGAAGACTTACCGATCACGTGATAAATGCTTTTGCGTTTCTTTTCTAATAAAATAACAAAATAACAAGAATTTCTGAAATTTCAGAGGACAATTTTAAATGAAAGAATTAAATTATTTATTTCAAAAAATTTCATTGACAACATAAATGTACATCCCAATTTTTTTTTTTTATTTCTATTGTAGAGAGAACTTCATATTTATCAGAACAGATCTAACAGATAAGTAACAATGAAAAGGTGATTCTCTCTACGTTGTAAAATGTAAACACTCGGGATTGGTTTGGTGTTCAAAAATAAAATAAGTTTCATAAAAAAAAGTTTCTTCCTGATAAAATGAACGCGTCGTATCAAAGAAATGACGAATTTATTATAACTGTTGAATTAAACAAACAGATAAAATAAAAATTAACTTAAGAAAAGGTATAACGTTTGTTAATTACTTTCTCTATACGAAAAATAGTTATGTTTTTTTTAATGCATCACGGAAAATTATCACGCCTCTTCGATTCAAGATTTCCAAAAAAAACAAATAAATTTGGCATCATTTTTGAGTTTATCTTTTAGATCAATACATCTTTTCGTAATCTTTCAAAAAGCGCTCCGATTATTTGCTTTGTTTGTCCTTTGATCAATTACAAATAGAAATTTCATAAATATTAATTTTCGCTAAGCAGGACAAATTTACACAGCATTCGTTGCGCTCACACGCTCTGTTATTATCAGCAAAAAAAAAAAGAAAAAGCCCTGCTAGTTCAGTAAAAGTATATAAATAACGCTTGAAATCATCTTTCGTTTCATACATACATCAAATTGCCATGTATTTTTCAAATAATTCAAGTTTATTCATTGTAATCTCAGCACTTTTTGTGATTTTCTCACAACTCATAATCACTTCTTATTCGGCTCCATTTTCTTCTCATCTTCAAAAACGTGCCTTTTCAGGTACTGCTTCATATTACGAACCGGGTTTAGGTGCATGCGGTGTATTTTCATCAAGCATGGATCTGATAGTAGCGGTTAACGCTGCTCAATTTGGTGACACGCCAAATCCTAACGAAAATCCAATATGTGGTAGAACCGTTATTATAAACGGTCCACAAGGAACCGTTACTTGTCAAGTTGTAGATAGATGTCCTGGATGTTCTTTTGGAGATTTGGACTTATCTCCAGCCGCTTTCGAAAGAATTGCCGACCTAGAACAGGGTAGAGTTCCGATCACTTGGGATTTTATTTGATTGTGGGAATAGCGAGGTGAATGATGATGATGATTAAGATAAAAGGTTGACAAAGTATTCAATTAAATTCTTTCAATGCCAGGTACCAATAAAAAGCATGCAATATAAATGGTTTAGAAAGATAATTTTTCTGATACTCCTTTTGTTCATTTATTAATTGTATTTCTTTTTTCTTTAATAAATATATAATGATTATGACCCCAAAAATTTAATTTCGGATGACATACAGTAATGTTTTTCATAATTTGGGATAATTCATAAATGTGGGTAAAAGTTTAACGGGTACATTTGAGGTTTAAGTTCATCAATTGATAAAATAAAAATGATTAAAATTAGCGCGAAAAAATTCATTTTTTATTTCAACTGACATTATTATTGCTTTAAATTACAAAATTCTCTTTTCGAAACAAATAAAAAATAAAACTAAAGAGAATGAATATGAATATGATAACCTTCATTGTTCATTTATAATTTACCAAGTTAAAAAGTGAAGCGTGTGGGTTCAAGAGTCAGCCCTTTCCTTTTTCTTATAAGTTATCATGATAAGTAAAAATGAAATACTCAAATAAATGATTTGTATTTTTTTAATTAACTGTATATTATTAATTCATTCACTAAAAATTCTTGTACATATCTTCCAAAAAAGCTATTTTTTAACAAAATATAATCTCTTGACACTTTTTTTTTGCTTATAAAGTGTTACGATCATAAAAAATTTATCGAGCCACCTTTTTGTTTATCAATATTGTACACACAATTAAATTGTTGTAGCCTTTTTATAAACTTGTTTTCATGAGTTAAATAGGTTTATCAAGGAATTATCTCCTCTGTCAACAAATTTACATTTTCACTTTTTCACACATGCTTACAAAGTCAAGAACAACAACAACAACAACAAAAATCACTATGCAAAATCCATTCACCATTATTTAAACTTGTTAGAATATTACTCCCAACTTCAGCAAAATTTGAAATGATATTTAATAAAAGAATGAAAACTTTTTGGCGCAAGGTTCTTTTACAAGTTTTTTTGTAACTTTTTATTTTATTTACGGATATATTTTTGGGTGCAGTTCGTGGCACAGTGAATTATAAAATCCTCGAAGAAAGGAACGATCAGTTAGATTATTCCTAAAAGAACTTATCTTCCATAAGGTTGATCTGAAATTAACCCCGCGGGTGAAACAAATTCAAATTTTCAGAGATAAAACACAAATCGACGAAGGATCCCTTCATAAAAGCGAGAGGTCAAATGAATATTGAATTACGCACTTTGTCATTATGTAAATATGAAAATTACAGTGGCCAAGAATCATGTCGTAGACTTACATATTTTATCGTAAAAACATTCGCTTTCTATCCCAAAATGTAAAATCACATTCACATATGTTATTCATGTGAAACTACTTCGATCAAATTTCGCATCTCCTTAAATTCGTTTTCATGATAAAGATGCCTCATGAAGATTGTATTCAGAAGAAGAGGATCGAAGTTAAAGTGGACGCTCCTATTACAATACTTTCTTGTTGATTTGCAGAGAATTTACATATGTAAGATTATTTCAAATATTATCCTTTTAATGTTGCAATTGATAATAATTCTTACGACATTCTACTTTTGCTTCCTCAAATATAGATCAAATATAGAGGTTTTATAGAAACGCCACTTTTATAAATTTCCACTATCTTATGAACAATCGACGGATAATGGATTGCGAATGCAAATCATTCAAAAATAGATCTATC